TGATCAATGAAACCAAAATTGAAGTCAGTGGGACTACTGACGGGTCTAACCCAAACTATGTGTTTAAGGCATTGATGCTGCAAAGGCTTAATAGAAAGTTAGAATAATCTAAATGTACAACCTAATCTAGTGCCCAGTGAAGTAAACTGAAAGACTTTCACTGAATTCAATAGACATTGGATCAGATCATCGCTGCAGATAATCTTATAGTGGATGAGTAAGGAGGGAAGAAGGGTTGGGGCCAATTCTTCCCAGATATTCATAGATTAATGAATATTTCAGAAGCTCCTGGATTTGTATAACTGTTTTTCACATTTGTTCAGAGTGTTTTTGTGACACTTAAATCATTAAAAAAACAAAATGAGACATCAGTGAATTGTCTTTTCCTCTCAACTTTGGTTAAAGATAATTCCAGCACTTTTGCTAGATGCTGGAATTCATTTTGAGCATGCACATCATAATCCCTTGTTGCAGTGGGTATTTTTGCAGCAGAAGAATGTGTTTATTTTGTATTTTGAATGTTTGGAAGGTGCTCTATATCAAAGTCACTGACTGGATATTATAAGTGATGCCTATAGTTAAGGTTACCCTAACGTTCCAATATACGACCCTGTTTTCCATTTTTATAACTTTGCCAAACTTCAACCATTTGGGTTTAAATTGTCCATGCTGGGTGTCTGCCTCTGCTTGAAAAATTTTTAAGTTTCAGCTAAAACTGTTCCAAGAACAAGGGCAAAAGAAAATATGGATGCTAATAAGTTCGTACAGCCATTTTGCTGAGAAGCTCAAGCACTTACATGCTTCAGATCAGGGATTTTACTTCTGAGGAAATAAATAATTTTGTTTGAATGATGTGCCGAAAGTAAAGAATAGGGACACACATTGAATGATGAGGACAAAAAGAAATTATTCGATAGGTACCCATTCAGTGAGCACCATCTATCCCTGTGCACTGAATGAATCAGGGGTCCAATGGAAAGAACAGCATAGGATAATGCATACACACAAGGAGGCTGAATTAAAGTGCCTGGGCATCCTCAGTTTTAGCATTTTGCATGTTTGACTTTGCAATCTTAATGTTCTTTTAAGGTAGTAGTAGTGAGACTAAAAACAAAATCCTAAATTCTAAAGAAATACAATTGATCCCTATAAACACAGACTCTCCCATCAAATACCTAGCATAAGCTACTACAGGGGAAAGCCTGAGAAAAGAGATTGGTCTTTCACCCAATCCTGAAAAATCAGCAGACAAAGAGGGGAAATGATGACTTTTAAGGATCATACTTTTTAAAAAAAAAAAAACATTCCCTTTGTAGCATCCAGTTGGGAGGGGAGAAGAAATCATGTCAGCCAGAGCTAACACAATGATCAAGCTCTGTTGGTCAAAAAGGGCAATGATCTTGGAAATGGCAATAAATTGTCCATTTGATAGATCAAGTTGTTTTCCAGTGGACTGTGGACTCATCAGGATCCTTAAGGACTTTCATTGGTGGCATAGAGACAGATTGGGTTAGCATTGTGGCAGAATGGCCTGTAGTCTACACACGCTCTTCACATAGCAGTCCACTTCCATCATGCAGGGCCTGATTCACCTCTCTCAGGGGTGTAAATCAGTGCAGTAACAGCAGGGAAGGTGAGATCAGAATCAACTTTGCAGTGTAGACCTTGGCATGTCTGGTGCTCCATTGTCCAGGAGTATTAAAATAGATATATTTTTACTGAAGGGATGGTTGGTCCATTTGTTTTATATGTGCTGCAGCTCGGTTCCGTAGAACCTATATTTTGATTTCCAACCAAATCAGGTAAGTGCTTTAGTCTGCTGAGACAGAGGAATGAAGCACCATGCAGTTCACTATCTATGCCTCTTTTTCAGATGATAACTTAAAAATGAAGCTCAGTCATCTCTGCTAAATAGTTTTAAAAAAAAATCCTTTAGCACTTCTTGGGAAGAGAATCAGTTTGTCCTATTTCTATGGTTGCCAGCTACACTGTTTTCCAGATTGCTGTTAATGGCTCGTCACTATTCTCCATCCCAGAGGTGGCTGCGTTACCATAATAGTGTATGTGATTGTGCAATGAGGCTGTAGAATTATAAGCCATTACAATATACAACTGAAAACACGATATGCGATCTCCTGTGGCCTTTGCTATTCTGTTGGTGGAGTAAGTGGTCAACTTTCGTACCATGCACCCATTTGGCATTCAGTGCTTGTGTAACACCGACAGACCCTTGGTCGTCGGTGGGCGGAATCAATCTGGGGACTGCTGGAGCTTAGTGCATGAGCCTTTACTGCAGGAGCTAAAAGCCAGTGGCCTCTTAGCTAAGGCTGTGGAGCAGACTCATTTTGTCTCTCTCGTTAAGTGGTCTCGGTGCCACTAGGTGGGACAGAACACCACAACCAGAAGGTGTGTGGGTTACACTTGCAGACTTGTTTTACAGTTTGCATTCTGCATAGCCCACTTCATTGTCCACTGAGAAAAGAATTTCATCCAATGTACAGAACAAAAAGCAGCAAAGGCATGGAATAAAAAATATGCCCCAAAAAATTTAGGAAATCCCAGTGTTTAGAGCCAAGACCTGCTTTTTTCTGAGTCAGATTATCAAGCCTCAGTTGGACTACACAGTAGGGTGACCAGACGTCCCGATTTTCTCGGGACTGTCCCGATATTTGCTTGTTTGTCCCGTGTCCCGACCAATGTTAGGTCGGGACATGGGACAAACAAGCGAAGGCTCTGGAGCCCGGAAGGGCTCACAGTCCCCTGTCCTGACTCTGCCCCTTTCTTCCCCCATTGGCTCCCTCCCCAAATCCCCGCCTCTTCCCCAAGCACACCATTCCTCCTCCCTCTACAAGTGCTGGAGGGAGGCCCCGGAAACACGGGGAGCGTGGCGCTGGGGTGACTAAGAGTCCGGCCTGGCCCCGAGCGCAGGCAGGACTCAGTCGGGCGGTAGGGAGAGTAGGGCGGCAGCCCGCGGGGCCAGGCCGTGGCTGTTCTTCCCACCTGGGCAGCAGGACTCGGGAGCAGCTGCTGCTGCAGCTCCTACTGCCGGGGCCGGAGGAAGTGGCCATGGCGCTCGGCGGCTGCGGCTCTGGCACCCGGGCCTGAACCGCCCAGGCCTGTTGCAGGGACCCAGCAGCGCGCACGCTGCACCCAGCCCCTGGCCAGTCGCGTCTGGGTTGGCTGCCCAGCTGGTGCAATCCCGCGGTAGCCCCGGGGCCGAGGCATCGGCAGCCCAGCCCCATTCGTTCCCCGGCGGGACCCGAGTGGGACGGGGGGGCTGTGGCCTGCTGCCCCTACTCCGGCCATGTCAGTAGGAGCTGCAGCAGCGGCTGCTCCCAGGTCCTGCTGCCCAGGTGGGGAGAACAGCCGCCGCCTGGCCTCGTGGGCTGCCCCCCGACTCTCCCTCCAGATACCACCTGATTGAGTTCTGCCTGGCCGGACTCTCACTCACCCCGGCTCTGCGCTCCCCCTGCGTCTCCAGGGCCTCCCTCCAGCGCTTGCGGAGGAAGGGTGTGTGTGTTTTTTCGCTCTGCCACTGTTTTTTTTCTTTCTTTTTGCTCCGCTCCCCCCTACATCCCGATATTTGACCTGGGTGATCTGGTCACCCTACCACACAGAATGGGACGACTGTACATTGATGTCTACTTTAGCCAATTTGTAGTGGTTTGGTGAGACTGGGCAGTAGCCGGTCCTAGCGATTAAAAGCTTTTCCAGGGAGAGAAAGAGAGGTGGTATCTTATCGCAGAAAAAGGAAGAAATAATAGTGGTAGCTCAGCGTAGAGGATGCAACACGTGCATGCTGACAATAATCCAAACATAATCCCCTGGCATATTCCGGAAATTGAACATTCATTCATGTACCTGAC